CCGACAGCATCCCTGCAGGATGATGTAAGAGCAAGTGCTCATCTTAATGAGCACTTGGACCAATGCTCCTGGACTGGTCAGTTTCTCCATAGAAATCCCACAATCCCTCAAAGGAGTATAAACCTGGCTGCCATGCTCTGTGAGGAAAACAGGAGGAGAAGGCTGAAGGGGTCCTACATTTCAGGATGAAGCCATTCCTGAGTCCCCATTGTCAGGACAGTGCCATGCCTGGTATCCCCAATCATGAGTCCCTCTATGTTAACCACAACAGTGGGTAAACCCAGTATCCGCTGGGTTGAGACATGAGATGTGGAATTGAGAGGAATAGGCCAGAGAGCCAAGAGATCTATTTTTCTCTTACACAGACTTTCAACCAACACCTTGTTTCAGCTCCATCCGGTCTGCTGCTTCTGCACTTACAATGTCTGAGCTTTCTGGCACTCTGCAGCAGAAACTGACTTGCTTCTTAAGTTCCCTCACTGCTGTTTTCAGCTTCTCTAGTCTGCTCAGTAGTTACCATATCTCCAAATCCTTTCCAACTTCCAAAACTGCCTGCTGTTCTATGCTTCTCCATTCTTATTACTGTCATTTTAGTGGATCTGCTATTGTTGTTTTAGTGGAATTCCAGAAGGGTATCAAAGTTCAAGCACATGTTTGATGCCCCATGTCCCAATCACACAGGTCCTAATGTCAGCTGACTCTTGAAGTATGATGAGGCTCACCAATGGTGGTGGTGGTGGTTGTTACATGCCATCAGGTTGGCTCCAATTTACAGCCATCCTATGTACAACAGAATGAAACACTGCTCGGTCCAGTGCCAGCCTCACAATCCTTGCTATGCTTAAGGCCACTGTTGCAGCCACTATTTCAATCCATCTTGTGTAGGGCCTTCCTTTTTCACTGACAGTCTACTTAACTAAGAATGATCCTTTTCCAGGAAATGGTCCCTTCTGACAAGATAACCAAAGTAGGTGAGATGAAGTCCGGCCACTCTTGGGTCCAAGAAGCATTCCAGCTACACTTCTTCCAGGACAGATTTGTTCCTTTTTCTGGCTGTCCATGATATTTTCAGTTTTCTTTGGCAACACCACAATTCAAAGGCATCACCTTTTCATTGGTCTTTCTTATTCATTATCCAGCTTTCATACACCTATGAGAAAACTGAAAATACCATGGCTTGGGTTAGATGCACATTAGTTTTCAAAGGGACAGCTTTGCTCCTTAATATTTTAAAGAGGCGTTTTACAACAGATTTGCCCAGTGAAATATGATATCAGATTTCCTGACTAGTGCTACCATGGGTGTTGATTGTGGATCCAAGTAAAATGAAATCTTTGACCACTTCAATCTTTTCTCCATTTATTGTGCTATTGCTTATCGGTCCAGATACGAAGATTTTTGTTTTATGTAGAGGTGTAATCCATACTGAAGACTGTAGTCTTTGATCTTCATCAGTAAGTGCTTCAAGTCTTCACTTTCAGCAAGCAAGGCTGTGTCATCTGCATACAGCAGGTTGTTAGCAAGTCTTCCTCCAATCCTAATGCCAAGTTCCTATTCATATAGTCCAACTTCTTGGATTATTTGCTCAGCATACAGATTGAATAAGTATGGTGAAAGGATACAACCCTGATGCACACCCTTCCTGATTTTAAACCATGCAGTATTCCCTTGTTCTGTTCAAATGACAACCTCTTGGGTGTTATGTACAGGTTCCTTATGAACACAATTAAATGTTTGGGAATTCCCATTCTTTGCAATGTTATCCATAATTTGTTATGATTCACACAACTGAATGCCTTTCCATAGTCAATAATACACAGGTAAATATCTTTCTTACATTGGCTTTCAGCCAAGATCCATCTGACATCACCAATGACATCCCTAGCTCCACATCCTCTTCTGAATCCAGCTTGAATTTCTCAAAGTTCCCTATCAATATATTGTTGCAACCATTTCTGAATTATCTTCAGTAAAGTTTTATTTATGTGTGATAGTAATAATATTATTCAATTAATTTCTGGATCAGCTTTCTTTGGAATGAGCACAAATATGGATCTCTTCCAGTTGGTTGGCTAGGTAGCTGTCTTCCAAATTTCTTGCCATAAACAAGTAAGTGCCTCTAGCACTGTATGCATTTGTTGAAATATCTTAACAGGTATTCTGTCAATACCTGGAGCCTGGTTTCTCATCAAATACCTCAGTGCAGTTTGGACTTCTTCCTTCAATACCATTACTTCTTGATCATATGCTTCCTCCTGATATAGCTGAATGATGACCAATTCTTTTTTGTACAGTAACTCTGTATATTCCTTCCATCTTCTTTTGTTGTGTCCTGTATGATTCAATATTTTGCCCAACAGAATCCTCTACCAAGGGGAGGAAAGGGCAAGGACAACTGTTTTTACCTTGACCAGACTTCCAGTTCACTGTGTTCCAGTGCTCTGAAGGGTGTATCTAAGTCAACCTTTACTTGCTTGAAGTTAAGCAATCTCTATGTTTAATTTCAAAAAATAAAAAGAAATAAAACAAGTACAAAATGCTTCTCATCTAGCAGAGGGCATTAGTTAATTAATTGAAAGGCTCCATAGTCAAAGCATTGGTTTGGTCTGGAAGTAAGCTGAACTCAAGAAGCACTTAAGTGGCAAATCTGATCCTGAAACTACAAAATCAAGTCTTCCCAAATCAGGCAAGTGTCTCACATGTTGCCTTATAGAAGGGCAATTTCAGACATTGCCAGATTTGGGACTTTTCCTTATATTGTTCTCATTCTAAAGGACAGATTGAATGAGAAATAAAGTGATTACATTCTTTTTTTTTTCCCATTAAAACACGGCAATGCAGATATAGCTGACTCCATTCTGTTCTCTGAAGCCTTGCTCTAAACACACATACCACTAGTTCTGGAACTGCCTCCAAGCCAGTTTTCTGGTAACACACACACACACACACACACAAACACAAGTCCTACAGGACAGTCTCCCAGCTCCTGCTTTTGCATTCTTTCTCTTTTGCTTGCATCTGCCCTCCACTCTTCTGCTCCCTGGCCATCAGTTTACAATGAGATACCCAGAAGGAGGCTGCCTGCTGGGACCTTTACACGGTGGGAAGGACAACTGCCCTGTGAGGCAGGATCAGAGTGTGGATTCTACCAGCTACCAGCTGCACAACTGTGGTTAAGTCAGCTAAAAGCTCTTGCCTCAGTTTGCTGTGGGAGTTAAGAACTATATCAAAGGGTCATTGTAAGAACTGAATGAGTTAATTGATGTATGTGCCTAGAACAGGGGCCGGCACCAAGTTAGTCTCTGTGAACATTAGACAGATTATACACGGGCTGTCAGAACTGACTGCCTCACCCGATGACTTTAAGTAGTATTCTACTGCCAAAATAAAGGAACTATTTCTTCTTCACTTTTATCTCTAGTCACCAGGGATAAAGTATTGAATATATACAGAAGGGCCATTCTTTTCTGTGGTTTACATACCACGTCTCTTGAAATGTCCTGTCCTGGGACATCCCTGCACCTAAACCCCACGTGCTTCTAGGGACATGCTTGTTCTTAGAAATACCCCACTCCTAGAAAACCTGGTGGCCAGAAAGCTATTTGTGTCCTGGTGACAAATACAAAGTGCTTCTTATCTAGCAGAGGGCAAATGATATGTCAGTAAACATACCAAGGCCAAGTCAGAGTCAGAAATTCACTGGCAACCATCCCAAAGCCGCTAAACAGTCTGCTCAGTAACTGCAACTTCCAGCCTGTGGAATGTACATGTTAACCTTACTGTTGCTAAAACCTACCTCACCTCTGAAAAATTTTTTCCAGGTTCCAGAACATTTCTGATTGCTAACCAGTGATGAGGCTTGGAGCTGAGACTTGAACCTCTTTGTATGAGTTTCCTGTGGCTGCTGTAACAAACTATCACAAACTGGGTGGCTTTCAACATTAGAAATTAATTCTCTTATAGTTCGGGAGGCCAGAGGTCAGAAATCAAGGTGTTAGCAGGGCCACATGCCTGCTGAGGTTCTAGAGAAATGCTTCTTCATCTCTCTCAGCTTCTGGTGGCTCCAGGTGTTCACTGGAGTGTGTCAGCATCACTTCAATCTCTGCCTCCATCCTCACATGGCCATCTCGCTGTGTCTGTTCTCTTCTTATAAGGAACCAGTCATTGCATTTAGAGCCTGCTCTAATCCAGCATGACCTCATCTGAAGTAATTACATCTGCAAAGACCCTATTTCCAAATAAAGTCATCGTGAGGTTCTGGGTGGACAGGGACTTTTGGGGAACACTATTTAGTCCAGTTCAGCCTCCTCAGCCACACCCTCATAACTACACTGCCTGAAAGGACATTTAGAGCTCGGGTCCCTGTTAGCACATACTACATGCTATGAAAGGACACACACTATTTAAACATGATTTCTCCCATGTTTTATTTTACATGTCAGTCATTACTACACATTAGCCTCATAACAGGCATGTAGAAACATCAACTCCACAAAAGAATTACACATAAAAGTTACCAGGGCATTGCATAACTTGATGGTTAATTTAATTATTTCCTAAAGAAAGAATTTCCTGCAGATGAAGACACCGTAGGAGGAAGAGTCAAGTACAGACACAAAGGCAGAGCTGCAAACCAGGCTGTGCTATGCTTGGCTCCTTGCCCCTGCCAGCGCTCTCTCCACACCCAGGGCCCCTGCCTAGCTAGTCAGCTCTCAGCCAGTTGTGTAATAGGGAGGCAGAAGGGCCTGGAAGCTTCTAACCTGTTCTGGTGACTATATTGTGGCAGGTGATAGGGCAGAGAGTTAGGGCAGGGCTTGAAAGAATATGGTGACCACTGATGTTGCCCCACATTCAGGGGGGACCATTAGCAATGACAGTGGAAATCAGCATGAGCTCTTTATAAAATCTTTTAAAAATCTTTTATAAAGCTTTTTTTTTTTTTATAAAAAAGCAGAGCACTTTATAAAATCTAACTTGCCAACCCAACCACACCCCGTTACCATTGAGGAGCTGCAGCTCCGGGAATGTGGCGGAACACACTTTACATGCCCACTGGCTGGGCTCTGCTTCCACGGGGGCACTGCTCTCCGGGGTGCCTGCAGCTTCAAAGACAAGGAGGAGAAAATGGTGATCACCAGCAGCTCACCTGCCCACGAAGCCCCAGCCAATGGTACTTGTCCTAGAAGGTGATTAGGAAAGCTGGCACTTATAAACACTTCCCCAGCCAAGTTGACACACAAACATAACTACCACAGGTGGCTTGTGTGTTGCTGTGATACTGGCAGCTATGCCACTGGTACTTCAAAGGCCAGTAGGGTCACCTATGATGGAGAGATTTCAGCAGAGCTTCCAGACTAAGGCAGACTAGGAAAGGAAGGCCTACCAATCTACTTTCAAAACTTAGCCAATGAGAACCTTATGGAGCACAACAGAACTGCCTGATATAGTCCTGGAAGATCAGCCCTGGGATTAGAAGGCGTTCAACATACACAATGGCCCCAACAATGGACTTGAGCATGCCAACATGGCACAGGACCAGGTAATGTGACACTCTGTTGTGATGGGGTTGCTGTGAGTCAGAGCCAACCCAATGGCAACTTACAACACAACAACAGTATGAGCACTTAAATGTTCCAGGCACTGTTCTGAGTCTGATACACATTCACTCTTCATTCTCATGACCATCCCCATTTTACAGATGAGAAAACTGAACCCAGAAAGGAATAGTCATGTATGAACTACAGCAGTCTGTCTCAATCTCTGTCCCCTGCAGCCCGTTGCAGAATTGTTGTCACCTCCTCCTTCCTATGACTTTAAGGAAAAAAAAAAAACACACACACACATATCCTAAAGAACCAAATTTAATCTCTCATTGGCTTATGCAAGTAAAAGATGAACTGCAAACAGGTAGATATACTCCTTGGAGAGATCAATCATGTGGAGGTCCCTATACCCAGCTTGGCTGTAGCTTCACCCAGTGATGTCCAGAAGTTTCTGCAAGGACAGACATGCTCTGTATCTGTGCTGTGCAGGATGGCAGCCAGGAGCCACTATGGCTAATGAGCACTTGATACAGCTGGTATGCCACAGGAACTGAGTTTTTCATTTTATTTCCTCTGGATTTGAATTTAAACAGGCACACAGGGTGGGTGGCTGCTGTCCCAAGCAGTGCCACTCCAAGACATCTTCACGGCCCTCCATCTCCACCATGCAGGGATCAGTGAAGAGAGGAGAGTGGGACACACACCTTACTCTAAAGAGGGGAATTACAGCTTCTTTTTTTTTTAAAAAAAAAAAAACCACTGTTTTTGTGAGACCAAGAAGTCAGGGTCCTTCATGAACATACCAGCAGCACTCCTGGCCTGGCCCAGATTCCCTAAACCTTGCTTAGAAAGAAGCCTTCTAGGTATCATGGCCATAGCTCAGGGTTCGTTGGGTACAAGAACCCCTCACCATCCCTTCCACTCTACCACCAAATGTTCATCACAAAAGCTCCAGATCCTCACCATACTTGGGCCACTCATACACAAAAGCAATTTAGAACTGCAAGTTCAAAAGCTCTCAAAAAGCTGGCAATACTCAAGCAAAGAAGGAAAGAAAAAAAAGGAATCACTGCTACATTGTTCTGCCTGCATCTCCTGAGGGCCTTCATAACACAGGGAAAAATAAAGGAAATATATGTTGAGGTAGTTAAGTATGTGTGTCAACTTGGCTGGGCCTGGTTGAGTGGCTGGGCAGCTGGTGGTAGTTATTCCCCATGATGAGGCTGGCAATCAACACCATGGTGGGCTCTACCACAAGCTGCTGAGTAGCTGCTTTGGGTATGTGGTCTGCTTCCCATATATAAGAAACAGCTTTGGGAACGGTCTCCAGCTTATGGCATGCTTGAACTCTATATGTAGCCAGTTGTTATTCAGCAGCCTGCCATGCTCTGCTGATATGGGGACTTTCAATGGGCTTGAATAAATGGCCTGCCGTGTTGTTTGGTAACACTGGGACTGTGCCATTTTATTTGTCAATCGTGGGCTTGTTAGCCTCAGCAGCCAGTAGCTGCCTGAGTGAAGAGATGCCTCTAGCTTCAGTGGGCCGGCAGCAAGAGGCAGAGCTGAAGCCCAAGGTCAAGGGGCTTTCACCCAGCCCCTAGAGACTGGCACTTGGAACTTGGACTTCTAGCCTCCAAAAATTGTAAGAATAAACTCCTGTTTGTTAAAGCCATTCCATGTGTGATATTTTTCTGTCAGAGTAGCATAGAGGTAACCAAACTGTATGTCCACAAGATAAGAAGAAAAAAAAGGAATATAAGCATAACATGGAATGTTTTTGCTGTATTAAAGCCAACATAAAGACTAGAGAGAGAGCTGGGCTGGAGCCCTGTGCAAAGCAGGCTCTTATGTGATGTCGGACCCTGACCAGGTAGGTCCCTTTTGTACTCGCTGAACAGTGTGCTGGTTGAAGAACTAAAAAGAGATTGAGACTGGGGAGGGGATAAAGGGGAACAAATGGGAAAAAGAGCCACATTCCCATTTCTCACTCATCTTCCCAAACATGCAAGATTTTAGAGGGCAAAACACACTTGGCTAGAGTCTGAGGAGCAGGAGGTAAGCTGGGTAGCTTGGAAAAGATGTGATTTCTTCTATTCTGAAGATCTGTCTATAGCAGTAATGCTTCCCCCAGCCCCCATGGATGCCAATTCAAACCAGTCAGAAAAAGAAACTGGTTCTCTTCCACTTGTTAGTCATGACCTCCGAACTCTCATCAAGAAGCAGTATTTTCCAAACATTATTTTTAAAACATAAGAATTTAAAAAAAAAAAAAAAAAAGTTAGCCAACAGTTGTTAATCAAAATTGCCAATTACTTAAATAACCAACAAACCAGAAGTTTAAGCAAAATGACTAAGGTGCACCTGATCCAAGCCATGGTCTTTTCAATCACCTCACACACACACAAAAGCAGGACAATGAAAAAGGAAGGCAGAATTGATGTATTTGAATTGTAATGTTGCAGAAGAATACTGATTATACTATGGACTGCCAGAAGAATGGGAACTCTGGGGGTGTAGTGCCTAAGGCATTCTGCTAACCAGAAGGCTGATGGTTCAAACCCATCAGCCACTTCTTGGAAGGAAGACTGGGCAATCTACTTCCGTAGTGATACTGCCTCAGAAACCCAAGGAGGGTCATTATGAGTCGAGTCTGACTCAACGGCAATGAGTGAGCCAGAAGAATGAGCAAATCAGTCTCAGAAGAAATACAACTGGAATGCTTCTTGAAAGTGAGGATGGCAAGACTCTGTCTTGCTTACTTTAGACACATCATCAGAAAGATCAAGCTCTAGTCAAGGACACCATGTGTGGTGAAGTAGAGGGTCAGTGAAAATAAGGGAAACCCTCGATGAGATGACTGACACAACAGCTGTAACAATGGGCTCAAGCATATCAAAGATTATTAAGATGGTACAGGACCAGGCAAAGTTTCATTCTATTATACACGGGGTTGCCATGTATCCAAGCTCAATAGATGGGCAACTAACAATAACACATAAAATGTAACACCTCACAGCCATAAACAATGTCATGAAGACAGCAGTGATAGGAATAATTCTTCAAAGAGGATGATAAGTATAAAATGTGCATACAAAGAAAAGCAAGCAATAAAAAACACTTAGAGTAAGACTTCAACTATGTAAAAATTCAATTTTCAAAAGACCTGAAAAGAAACAGCAAAACTCTAGGGACAAAATAGACCAAGGACATTAATAGACACTTCACCAAAGAGGACATTCAGGTGGCCAACCAATACATGAAAAGATGCTTGCGATCACTAGCCACTTTTTAATTTTTTTTTTTAATTTGCAGAGATGCAAACTAAAACTACGAGATACCATCTTACCCCTGCAAAAATGGCAGTGACTGAGTAGTGACTGGGATCTTAAAAGCTTGTAAGCAGCCATGTAGATGCAACAGTGGGTCTCTCCTTGTCCAGAGCAAAGAATGAAGAAAACCAAAGACACATGGAAACAATTAGTCCAAGGGACTGGTACACCATGCAGTCTTTAGCCTATATGACTATGACACCAGAAGAACTAGATGGTGCTGGGCTACCACTGTGAACCACTTGGAGGGGGATCTATGTAGGAGATCCTGGATAGACCGGGAGAACAATGTGGAACAAAACTCAAA